TTCCTTTTTTCTTTTGTTTTTTCCTTTTTTTCTGTCTTTTTTTCTTTTTTTCTTTTTTCTTTTTTCCTTTCCTTTTTTCTTTCTCTTTTTCTTTTTTTTTTCCTTTCTTTTTTTCTTTCTTTTTCTCCTTTTGGCTCCCCCTTTTTTTTTTTCCCTTATGGATTTCCATAACTCTCTGTGACAATAACCTGGCAGCTGGGAAAACATGATGGTTATTTTTATTATTTGTTTTGTTGTCAACCCATTGCTTATGGATACAATCAAAGCTGTGAGAAGGGGAAGGTGGGGAGGGGGACGGGGCGGGAGGGGGGTGGGGGAGGACGCATTTATGCCTTTGCAGCGTGTTCCTGGTCCAGCCCCGCACTGGGGCCGGTGGGTTTTATTTCCTGGAGCTCATCCATCGGTGACGTTGTGACATACGATGAATGTGTCAGTCCTAATAAAATCAAGCAAACACTTATGGGCTTCCCCACATCCTTCTCCTCCTCCGAGGGGGAATTTGGGGAGGTGCCGAGCTCTTCCCAGTGGATACTCCCATGAGGGCTTCGTTCCCGGGGTCGTTATCAGGAGGTGTTTATTTATTTTAGGGGATGAGTGCTGCCAGAGCCAGTTCCTTTCCTTGCGGAGATGCTCGAAATCCTTGAAAAAGTGAGGATCACTGCCTGGCTTGAAGCCAACGTTGCCTTCGGATGTGGTTGAGCCCTGAGATGGAGTGAGGAAGGGGAGGAGGTTGCCCACCCTCCCCGTTCTCAAAACAGAGGGAATCGCCCCCACACAGGGTGAGTTGCCCCAAAGAGCCGCTGCCAAGTTGGAAGCGTTGGACAGAGCACAAGGTGAGAATGTCAGCAAGGAGAGGTCGGTTCCCTGTGGGATCAAGTCAGGTCGATCCCCCAAAGCCTCCTCGCTCCCCAGATCCCGCAATCCCGGCGGCCAGGCTGGATTTACGGGGGGAGGAGAGGGCGAGAAGGGATTAATTCTGCCCCCACCGCCTCCTCCTCCTCCGCCGGTGTCTAATCTCCGCTGGGGCTTCGAGGTCTGACCCTGCTCAGATTGAGGACCAGGATAACCCTGGCTGAGCCAGGGAGGATCCACCCCGGGGCTCCTGAAAACCAGGGAGTCAAAATTGCCCTTTTTTTTTGGCGTTTTATTTGTTTTTCAGGATCGATGCGTTTATCCAAAGGGTGGTGGCAGGATGAGGGTGAGGGATACAGGATGGGATGCTTAGCCCTGCCAGTGTGGGAGTGATGGGAATGGGGGGGCTTGGGGGTCCCTGTGCCCCTTCGGGTGGTGGAGTGTGACATTGGGGTGTCACGTTGCACCACGCCCCCTTTAACTCTAATATAATTAATAATAACCCATATAATTAATTAATCGCTCCAAAGACGGTGGAGATGGGGTTGGACCCCTGGGAGGGGTGGGCTGGGGGCAGCGGTGGGGGCATTGTCACTGTCTGGGATGGGACACCCCCATGGGGTGGGGTGGGGATACACCCCGCCCTCTCCGCCAGGCACCTCCCCCACCTGCGGGCCCCGCCCCACGGCCCCTCCCTGTTCCCCCCGGTCCCTCCCGGTCCCCCCCCGGCACCTGCTGCGGCGGCGGCTCCGGCCATGGGCGCTCTGCGGCGGGCGGCGCTGGCACTGGCGGCGCTGCTGGGTGAGCCCCGCGGGCATCGGGGGGCACCGGGCGGGACACGGCGGGGACCGGGAGGGGCACCCGACAAGATGCGGGAGAACCGGGGGCCGCAGGGCAGGACGCGGGAGAGCTTTGGAGGAGCGCCGGGCAGGACGCGGGGGTAGCGGGGATGCACCGACCAAGACGCGGCACCCGGAGCGCAGCGGGAGGAGCCGGAGGGTGCCGGGGCTGCGCTCGGCGAGACGCGGGAGAAGCGGTGGCACCCCGCAGGACGCGGGGAAGCGCGGCGAGTACGGGGCAGGACCCGGTGGTACCGCGGAGGAGCAGCCAGCAGGAGACAGGAGACGCGGGATGCACAGGGAAGGACAAGGGAGAGCTTTTGCGAGGTCGCCGGGAAGGACCCGGGAGTACCGCGGGGGTCACCGGGGCAGGGCGTGGAGCAGCCGGGGGCATCCAGCAAGACGCACGGGAGCCCGAGACCCCCGGACCCACCGGATAGGACCCTGGAAAGCTTTAGAGTGGCATCGGGCAGGACCTGGGGGTACTGCGGGGGAGTCACAGCACCCACCTATCCCTGTCAGTGGCCCCAGTCCCCTCATCCCAGCAGGCAGGTTGGCAGGTGGGGGGGCCAATCTAGGGGTGTCCCGAGTGGGGAAAATCTGGGGCCCCTCTGGAAAAGCAATTTTTTACCTTGAAGCTGCCAAATGGCACCTTCCAGCACCCCAAACCCAAAGCCATGCAGGGACACCCCGGGGACTCCGATGTGTTGGAGCCGATAATTCCCCTGTGGCGTCGAGCTGGAAAAAATCCATTTGGTTTCCTTTTCCCTTGTTTACTGGTGCTCCACAGTCACCCCAACTGGTTTTGAGGTGAGGAGTCTCAACCCTTCTCTGTTCACGGGTTTTTCCCTCCTTCCCCTCGCTATTTTTCCCACCCTATTTGACTTTTTTTTGAAACGCCACAGTTGCTCCAAAGGGAAATATCCTTTGGCATTCCCAGCCGAGAGGCCTTTGGGGAAAGGAAACGGCCCCAAAAACAATGGCAGCAGCATTTCCTCCCAGCGGGATGCTGGGTGGGGGTCTTGGAACCGCCACTTGTCCCTCCTTGCAGGTTTTCTTCCCTGATAAAAATTAATTGAAAGGTGTTGGGACGAGGTGTGGGGGTCTCTTAGTCCTTAAATCCCACCAGGGTGTTTCTTTGCCACATCCCAACAGGGTTTTTTGCATGGAGTCGTGATGGATTACCCCAAAACAAGTCGTGCCCAAGCCCTGGGATGCGACGTTGTGGGGACCAAGAGAGCAAAAATGCAGCAGAAAGTCACTTTTGAACCCAAAATGTGTGGGATTCCTTTAAATTCACTTTCAAACAGTCCCTCCTCGTCCTGTGGGATCTGCACAGGATCGTGATGGGGAAAAGCAAAATGAGGGGTGATGTTTGGCATTCCTGTCCTCATCACAATCCCATGCAATCCTATCCCCAATTCCATTCCCAATCCCTTTCCCATTCCAATCCCATCCCCAATTCCATCCCCAGTCCTATCCCCAATCCCTTTCCCTAACCCATTCCATCCCCAATCCCACCCCAGTCTCATCCCCAACCCATGCCAATCGCACCCCTATCCTATTCCTGATCCTATTCCATTCCCATTCCCATCCTATCCCTGCCTCCCTCTCCCACAGCAGGGGTTGAAGTGCGTTTCCATCTATAGCAAAGTCACGTATGATTATTGTTTTATTTAATTTTTTTTCCCCAAATTTGGTCTCTCTGGAGGATACGACTCCTCCTGCCACCCCCCCACCCCCGGGGTCGTGAGAAATGCCGCTGTGGATTTTCCCAACGGACACTGCTCCACAGCCAGGCATCTCCTATCTGCCCGTTTATAAATAGTTGGAGTTAAGGGAAGAAGAGGGAAAAAAAATCACCAAAAATAATCGAGAAAAAACAAAAAGGAAGGCAAGTGGCTGCGTCGC